TATACAAAAATCAGTTGCCTTTCCATACACCAACAATAAACTATCTGAAAGAAATAAAGCAATACCTTTTATAAATACAAAAAGCTTTAAAATTGGAATAAATTTAACTAAGCAAGTTAAAGATATATATGCAAAACCATCTTTTCTGTGGTATCCATGGTAACCTCTCCTCTTTAATTTCTGATTTTGTTTATTTGTGTCTTTTCTCTTTTTATTTTAGTGAGATAAGCCAAGGGTTTGTCACTTTTATGGATCTTAAGATTATTATGCTAAGCAAAATAAGTCAGACAGAAAAAAGTCAAGAGCCATATGACTTCACTCATATGTGGGATATAAACTGAAAGCAACAAAGGAACAAGACAAACAAAGAAACAAAAACTCATAGAAACAGACAAGAGTTTGCTGGTTACCAGAGGGTAAGGGGGGAGAGAGGTGGTAGAGGAAGGTAAATGGGGTCAAATATATGGTGATGGAAGGAGAACTAACTGTGGGTGGTGAGCACACAATGTGCTATATAGATGATGTATTATAGAACTAGATACTTGAAACCTGTGTAATTTTACTAACCATTGTCACCCCAATAAATTTAATTTTTAAAAATTCAAAAAACATATAAGGAAAACCATAAGACATCAATCAAGGAAATAAAAGAAGACAGAAATAAATGGAAAGATACCCTGTGTTCATGGATTAGAAGAATTAATACTGTTAAAATGTCTATCCTAACCAAAGTCATCTATTAATCCAATGCAATAGCCATCAAAATCCAATGGCATTTTTTTTAAAGTAGGAAAAGCAATCCTAAAATTTTCATGGAACAACAAAAGACCCCAAATAGTCAAAGCAACCTTTAGAAAGAAAATCAAAGGCAGAGGCATAATACTTTTGATTTCAACTATATTACAAAGCTATAGTAATGGTACTGGCATAAGAAACAGACATATAGACCAATGGAACAGAATCGAGAGACCAGACATAAATCCACACGTATATAGTCAACTAATATTTGACAAGGGAGCCAAGAATACTCAATGGGGACAGGATAATCTCTTCAATAGATAGTTTGGGGAAAACTGGATATATACATGCAAAAGAATAAAATTGAGCCTCTATCTTATACCACTCACAATAATTATCTCAAAGTGAATTAAGGACTTAACCATAAGACATGAAACCATAAAACTCCCAGAAGAAAACAGGAATAAACTTCTAGACATTGATCTTGTCAATGATTTATTGGCTCTGACACTAAAAGCACGGGCTATAAAATCAGAAATGAACAAGTTGAACTATATCAAACTTCAGAGCTTTTGCACAGCAAAAGAAACAACAAAATGAAAAGTCAACCTATAGAATAGGAAAAAACATTTGAAAACCACTTCTTGGTATATATACAAAGGAAATGAAATCACTAACATGAAGAGATACTTGTACTCCCGTGTTTATTGCAGCATTATTCACAGTACCATAGACAGGGAAATAGCCCCAGTGTCCATGATGGATGAATGTAGAAAGATAACGTGGTGTATATAAATACAGTGAAATATTTTTCAGCCATCAAAAGTTAGTACACCCTGCCTTTGCAATAACATTAGATGGACCTTGAGGGCATTACGCTAAGTGAAATAAGTCAGAGAAAGACAAGTAGTGTAGGATCTCATTTATATGTAGAATCTAAAAACGTTGAACCCATAGAAAAGAGTAGAATGGTCATTGCCAGGGGCTGAGGGTTGGAAGAAATGGGGAAGTGTTGGTCAAAGGGTACAAACTTTTGGTTGTAAGATGAATAAGTTCCAGGCCTCTAATGTACAACATGGTGACTATAGTTAAGAATGCTGTATCGTATATTTGAAATTTGCTGTGAAAGTAGAGCTTTATATTCTCACCATAACAACAAAATGGTAATAACATGAGATGAAGGATGTGTTAACTAACCTTATTATGGTAAACAGTTCACAATATATATGTATATCAAATAATCACATTATACACCTTAAACTTATACATTGTTATATGTCCATTATATTTAAATAGATAGGAAAAAAATTTTCCAAATCATTATCCAGATGACCCATGTCCTTGCTCAGCAGCCACCATTTGGTGAAACTGTCCATGTTTAGGCCCGGTTACCCTGGACCACTCCACAAAATTTCTCTTAACAGATTTTATATCAGCTAAGGAGACTCTGTCAGGAACTGTAACAGCAATACTAAGGGCTAACATTTATCAAGTATTTACTAATTTCCAGACATTACTAAAATTATCTTACATGTATTTACTAATGTACTGTTCATTATACTTTAATCACTGTTATTATCTGTTTTATAGATGAGGAAATTAAGACACAGAGAGGCTAAGTAATGAGTCAAGCATCTCAAAGCAGGAATCAAACCCAAGCAAAATGGTCCCAGAGTCCATTATCTTATCTGTTATTCTATACTGCCTGTAAAATGCCAGAATTGTCTTCCCCTTTCTCTGGTGCATTTTCCTCAAGATCTTTAAACAGTGGAAACAATTATGGGGTATTTTGGAACCAATGGAAACATCTGAGAGACAGACAGTGAGAGAGAACTAACTCTTATGCTTGTATATTTTTCAGCTATGTCTAAAGCACTTTCGTATCTGCTTCCACAATAGACCTTACAAGTATCCTAGGAGCCATGCAGGTTAGATCTAACCATATCTGTCAGAAAGTAAACTTGAGGCTCTGAGCTGAGACTATTACCCAGTCTTACAATTCTCAGCTTAAGACTATTTTCCCCTCCAATGTCACACTGACTCAAAACTAAATTGTGTCCAGAAGGGAAAGTTTTATGCAATTAGCATATGTTTCTTATTCCAGTCTTTATTTTGTTATACTTGCCATGGAGTGTGAATAAACAAATAACAAGTTTGGCCTTTTCATGAAGTTGATACTTTCATCATTGACCCCTCAAAATAGTTTTAGGTTTGTCCAAGTCATCTATAATTTGCAACTATAATTGGCTCACCTGGTTTTAGGGCTGATACCCTCAGTTAAGAGGTCCAGAAAAAAAGGAGGATGGAAAAAATATACTTGACTTTTTTACAAGTATCAATGAAAGGGAAGTCAAAGCAATACACTAGCTCAGAATCAATGATTTTCACCCTATTGGAGAGGTTTGTTTGTTTTGTTCTGTTTTTTTCCTATAAGGATGCCCTGAGACATATAAGAATGTCCTAGTCAGAGTAACACTAAAGTAGAAGAAAGTATTTAGGGAAAGGAAGTACTTTGAACTGTGGAACAAAGCTACTATATTTGCTGAAAGTTTTCTCAGTGATTTTCCTTGGATCTATACAATTTCAGAGCTTTGATGGTTTTGGGAGGCAAAAGGGAAGTGAGTTCTGCTTTAGGAGTCAGGAGACCTTGATTCTGATTTACTACATAACCTTAAGCAACTCCCTTCCCATCTCTGGAACATGGTTTTCCTGTCAAGCAACATGAGGGAATTGGTCTAGGTCAGTGGTTCTAAACTTCAGTGTGCATTAGAATCATCTGAAGGGCTTGCTACAACACAGATTTCTGGGCCCCACCAAAGAAATTGTGATTTAATAGGTCTGGGAGTGTATTGGAGAGTCATACTTTTTTTTTTTGTTTTTTTTTAAAGATTTTATTGGGGAGTCAGGGGAAGGGGAACAGACAAGTTGCTGTTGTTTTTGTTCTTCAGTCTACTTGTGGAGGATGTTGCTTCACTGGCCCAAGTTGGCACCATCATTGCGCTCTTCCTGGGCAAGGCAGATCAGTCGCCGGCTTCTGGACAGCCACTCACGGCAGCTGCTGGCCACTCACGCTGGCTGCCGGCTACACATTGGTAGCTTAGGGCAGCCCACTGCAGCAGGGGACTGCAGCACACGCCATTGCCGGCGACCCACAGCAGCCCAGCTCCATTTCAAGCTGTTGTTCAGCATCTTAGCTGTAGAGGGCAGTGTCACTGGCCCTCATATGTGGGATCCGAACCAGGGCCCTCTGGCATCCCAAGTCAGTTCTTAACCAACGCGCGACTCGGCCGGCCCAAGACTCATAAATTTTTAACAAGTTCCCAGATGATACGGTTCTTCTGGTCCATGGATCATACTTTTCCTTTTAAGTTTTTATTTTTCAATTATAGTTAATATTCAATATTATATTAGTTTCAGGTGTACAGCATAGTGGTTAGACATTTATATAACTACCCACCTGGCACCATGCATAGTTATTATAATATTATTATCGTAAATTATATAAATGTCTAACATGTATGTTGTATGCCTGTGCACCTGAAACTAATCTAAAATAATATTGAATGACAACTGTAATTGAAAAAAAAATTAAAAGAAGTACAAATTGGCAGTTACAAAATAGTCACAGAGATATAAAGTCCATGGACTATACTTTGAAAACCACTTGTCTAAATTACTTCAAAGGGCCTCAGTGCTCTAGAGTCCTAAGTGAGCACACTTGTACCAATGGTTCCTTAACCTCTTTTCAGTCATGGGGTACGTTTTGGCATCTAATGAAAGCTATGGACTCTCTCCCTAAAATATGTGCAGACATAATATTATGTATAATTTAAGGAGGTTTATGAGGGCTTTATCTTTGTATACTTGGTTATAGGCCCTCCAGATTAAAAACTCTAGATTATGAACAACCCTCTTCCCATTTTACAAATGAGGAATCTGAATCTCTAAAGCCTGGGTGGTGACTTGCTGACAGTTATAAGACTATTAATTTGAAGATTCAAGAATCAAGCTTAGGAGTCTTAGAATTATTATGAGCTAATTTGGGAATGTCACACTGCCTCAAGTTTCATTGATAGAGTCACAGCCTTTTCCCATGGACGTTGTCAGAAGATTTTCCAAAGAGCTAAAACATATTCTTTCTAAAAACCAAGGGAGAGGCCAAAATGTCTAAATATCTGAAAGTGATTGTCGCATAAGAAGCAGCAATCAGAGAAGAGAGAAAAGAGGACCTCATGCTAAACTCTTCTTTTTTTCCATAACAGCATTGAACCCCAGAAGGATCAACTGATTGGGTCATTTGATGAGATGAAGATGCCCAAGGAAAATGAGGAAGCTGTACTTGAGGTTAGTATTGTTTGATTTCTCCATAGGTCCAAGTGGCAAGATATCTGGCATTTCCTTTGTAAAGCATTCTCTAATGTCACTGACATACCCTTTGGGGTTGACCCAAGAGATACAGCCCACATTGCTGTCAAGAATAAATAAGAGATGAACTGGTAAGAGAAAGTGAGAATAAGAATGGTTGTAAAGGCCCTTGGAAAGTACTTAATCCAATCACCCATTTAACAGAGAAAAACTGAGGACCTGATGGGTGATGTGACTTACAGAAGGTCACAGGGCTAGTGGTAGATGTGTAAAAACTCAAATTCATGCCTTTATGACTTCATAAAAAGCTTATTACATTAAAAATGATGAACTGGAAAAATACGTCAGGATTTTAAATCCCAAAATAAAATTAAATGAATACATTTTCCCAGTAGAATCATTAACACGAAGCACTTGGAAGAGTACCTTGCAAAATGTAAATGTCAGATATTATTATTATCACTGAAAGACAAATCTATGGCTGCTGCCTTAGCCAAATGGATACTACTTTTAAAATCTAGCCACTGAGTCTGGCAGAAGTCCTTGATCACAGAAATCTGGAATTCTTCCTTTTGAAAACCTTCCAAGACAAAATTAATTCTACACAATGACCTAGGACAGTAGTTCAGCACATAAAGTGTTCCAATATAATAACCGTGGATTATGTTCCAAACTGACCCCAGTACCTTTCATCATATGGTGCTGATCTAGGATATCACTGCAGCATTTCCTCAAACCTACATCAAAAAAAGTAACTCAAATAATCTTACAGCCCTTCTTCTTTGTCCTTCTTTATCCCTATCCACTAATAATGCCTGCTAAATCTGTGGGAATGTATTTAATGGGCACTTTGCTACATCTGGCATTCCAAAGCCAATCAATAATAGGACAACTAAACAGAATATCAACATGGAAACAGAAGACTTGACCACTACAAACCACCTACAACTAATAGGCATCTATAGACCATTTCACGTGACAACAGCAAAATACACTTCTGGAGTACACATAAAACATTATAGGGCCATGAAAGAAGCAACTGCTAACTTAAAGGACTTTAAACCATGCAAAATATGTTATTAAACAACAGTAGAATGAAATTAGAAATCAACAATAGAAGGAAATTTTGAAAATTCAAAAATGTATGGAAATTAAACAACACATCATTAAACCGATGAGTCAAAGAAAAAATTTTATATTATAAAATATATTGAGATGAGCACAAATAAAACTTAAAATATCAAAATGTATGAGATATAGACAAAGCAGTGCTTAGAGGAAAAATTATAGTTATAAATGTCTTTATTAAAAATTATAAATCAATAACCTAGCCTTCTACATTAAGAAACTAGAAAAGGAAGGAAAAAATAATTTCAAAGCATGCAGAAGGAAGGAATAATAAAGATCAGAGTAAAAATAAATGAAATAAAGAAAAATAGTCTCAGAGATATAGAGGAAAAACTGCTGATTGCTAGATGGGAGGAGGTGGGGATAAAGGAAGAAGGGGAGGGGATTAGATAGCGTAAATTGGTTAACTACAATATTGCCATGAGGATATGAAAGTCAGCTTGGGGAATATAATCAATAATGATTTAAAGGTTTTGTAGGTTGTCAGATGGGCACATGTCTTATTAGAGAGACCACTTCATGGACAGTGTAGATGCTTGACCACTGCACTGTACAGCTGAAGGGGAAGCTGAGTAATATTGTATGTCAACTATAATTTAATATATGTATAGTCACAGGATGTGGAGTTCAGCATAGGGAATAGAGTCAATGGAATTGTAATAGATACATATGAGGTCAGAGGGGCAATAGATTGGGGGAGGAGGGTTATAACTCTGTGAAGGGTGAAATGTCTAACTATTACATTGATTTGTACACCTGAAACTAATAAAGTAATAAAAAAAAGAAACTGGAAAAAATAAATGAAATAAAGAGGAGATAAACGACAAGGAAAATGAACAAATCCAAAAATTGGTAATTTGAAAAAAGCAAGAAAATAAACTTCTAGCCTAGTCTGACCAAAAGAGAAAAAAAGAATATGTTCAAGTTACTAGAGTCAGGAATGAAGGAGGGGACATTACTACTGACTTTACATAAATAAAAAGGCTTATAATGGAATCTTATAAGTAAGTGTATGTCAAAAAATTAGGTAGTATGAAAATGGACAAATTCCCAAAAGACACAAATTACCAAAATTGACACAAAAAGAAATAGACAATGTGAATAGACCTATAACAAATATCGAGATTGAATTAGTAGTCAAAAAAGCCCAAACATTAAAAATCCAAGGACCATATGGTTTCAGTGTTGAATTCTCCTAAACATTTAAAGAAGATTAATATTAAGCCTTTACAAATCCTTCTAAAAATAGAAGCAAAAGAAACACTTTCCCACTCATTCTATAAGACTAGCATTACTCTGATATCAAAGTGAAACAAAAACATCAGAAAAAATACAATACAACCATTATTTCTTGTAAATATAAATGCAAAAGTTCTCAACAAAATACTAAAAAAACATCCTGCAGCATATAAAAAGATGATGCACTCAACTCAGTAGGATCTATCCCAGAAATTCAAATTTGGTTCAACATACAAGAATTAATGTAATGTACCATATTAATACAATAAGTTTTTTAAAAGATCATCTCAATAGACACAGAAAAAATCATTTGACAAATTCCCACACCATTTTATAATAAAACACAAGAAACTAGAAATGTAAAGGAATTAATGTGATAAACAGTGTTAATGAAAACCTCAGAGCTAAAAGACTGAAAGTTTTTCCCCTTAGAACAGAAACAAGACAAAGATGTCCACTCTTGCCACATCTATGAAAATTATACTGGAGGTTCTAGGCAGGAGAAAAAAAAGGTATAGGGATTAGAAAGGAATAAGTAAAACTATATGTATTTGCAGATAGCGAGATATGTATATCTTGCTTGATTATATATATATATATATGTGTGTGTGTGTGTGTGTGTGTGTGTGTGTGTATTTATAGATACACAGCTATATAAAGCACCCATAAAAACAAGTAGACCTAATAAATAAATTCAGCAAAGCTGCTTTAGGTTACAAGATCAACACATAAAAATAAATCAGTTTATTTCTATACACTAGTGATAAAAAACCAAAAAAGAAATTAAGAAAATAACTCCATTTACAAAAGCATCAAAAAGAATAAAATATTATTTTTAAGGAATAAATTTAACCCAGTATATGCAAGACGTAGACTTTGACAAGAACAAAACATTGTTGAAAGAAATTAAAGAAGACATGTTAATAGGAAGATATCCTGTGTTTATAGACTGAAAAACTTAATTTTGTTAAGATGTCAGTACTACGCAAAGTAATCTACAGATTTAATGCAATACCTAGGAAAATTCCAATAGCTTTTTTTTTTCTTTTTGTGAAATGGAAAAGCCAGGTCTGAAATTCATGTGGAATTGCAGGGACCCAAATAACCCAAACAATCTTGAAAAAGAACAAAGTTGGAGGACTCAAATTTCGTAATTTGAAATCTTACTACAAAGCTACAATCATTAAATCAGAGTGGTACTGGCATAAGGATAGGCATGTAGATCAATGGATAGAATTGAGAGACTCAATAAATTGAGTCAATTGATTTCAACCTCTATAGTCAATTGATTTCAAAAAAAGTGCTAACACCATTCAATAAGGGAAAGATGTAAATTTTTTTCTACAAATAGTGCTGTGAAAACTGGTTATCCACATGCAAAATAATGAAGTCAAACCTGTATTATACATCATGTATGCAATTAACTCAAAGTAGACTAAAATCTTCAATGTAAGAGATAAAATATTGAAATTGTAGAAAAATAGTCATAAATCTGTGTTACTTTGGATGAGGTGATGATTATTTAGATGTGAAATCAAAAGCACAAGCAACCAAACAAAAAAATAAATTAAACTTCATCAAAATTAAAACTTTTGTTCTTCAAAGAACACTATCAAGAAAGTCTAACAACAACCTACAGAATGAGAGAAAGTATTTGCAAATCATATATATGATAAGGGATTATAATTTAGAATATAGAAATCACTCTTAAAAGTAAACAATAAAAAGACAAATAACCCAATTAAAAAATAGGCAGAGGATCTGAATATTTTTCTCCAAGGAAGGTATACCAATGGCCAATAAACACAAGGAAGTATGCTAAATCTCAGTAGTCATTAGTAAAATGCAAATTAAACCCACAGTGAGATACCACCTCACACTCAAAAGGTGGTTGTTAAAAAAAACAACACAGACTATAACAAGGATTGGTGAGGATGAAGAGAAATTGTAACATTCATACATTGCTGGTGGGAATATAAAAGGATACAGCCATTTTGGAAAATTTTTCATCAGTTTCTGAAAATGTTAAACATAGAGTCACCATATGACCTAGTAATTTCACTCTTAAGTATATACCCTATAGAATTGAAAACGTATCCACCCAAAATCTTGTACACAAATGTTTATAGAAGCCTTATTAATAATAGCTAAAAAGTGGAAGCAACTGAAATGCCTATCAACTGATTAAAAAAATAACCAAATATGGAACTTTATTCAGTCATGAAAAGGAATGATACATGCTACTGACACATGCTACAATATGAATGAAACTTTAAAACGTTATGCTGGCGCCAGCCGAGTGGCTCAGTTGGTTAAGTTGGCTTGGGAGCACGAGCTCTGAGCAGCAGGGCCACCAGTTCAGTTCCCACATGGGCCAGTGACGCTTTGCTCTCTACAGCTAAGATTGTGAACAACAGCTCGACCTGGAGCTGGGTTGCCATGAGTGATCAGTGACGACATAGGCTGCAGCCCCTGCTGCAGTGGGCTGCATTAGGCTGCCATGAGCTACCGTGAGTGACCGGCAGCCAGCATGAGCAGCCATCCAATGGCCAGCGACCGACTGCTTCAGCCGGGAAGAGCGCAATGATCATAATACCAACATGGACCAGTGA